AAAGACTTTTCAAACTTGTCATTCCGAAGGTTCTAATAGCTTTAAGATGGCTAATAGACAGTTTCCAAAAGTAATTAGAAAGTGTATAGCTAACAAGAAATTAAATCAATTCTGTTCTTTACTTCACAGTAACTTCATTCCAAATGTTTTAAAATAAAGCTTCTATGTGCAAACCATAACTTTTTTGTTTCTAGAAATGAGTTATGGAGCCTAACTACAATTACCTAAGTATGCCTGCTGATAAGTAAATCCCATTGAGCTCAAATGGCTTTATTTCCAGGTAAGCAGTCATTCAAGGCATTAAAGTCAGCATCTGTTATATCAGTGTGATGATATTGGATAGATCTCTCTGTGTGTGAGAGAGAGAGACAGAGAGACAGAAAGAGAGAAAGAGGGAGAAATAATTCTCCCTCAATTCCCCATTCTTAGAAGACAATACCAGAAATACCCATTGATATTTAATGAGAAGGGAAAATGTGGGAGCTATATGGCAATAGCCAATTGGCCACAATGCAGCACATAACTCTGTGCACATGAGTATAATTGAAATAATAAAATTGAAATAAATAAACTACATATAATCAGTTATGCATTGGATCCTACCCTTTTACACTGTGGCATTTTCAAACACCATGCCATAAAAAGGAAATTGTGCCTTAGTACTAATATGAAAAAGATATTGTGTCATTCCTTTTTACTCTTTCCAACACAATGGAATGTTGGAAAGAAATTATGGAAAGGGGATTAGGACTCTCTCCATCAGTGTGACAATTCTCTGAAAACTGAACAGAAAGGGGCCAAATCTGGCAATGGGAAAGCCAAGAAAAGAAATATCAAGTCTGAAAATGGCCAGAGCCAGCTGGGGGATGCAAAGAAAAAAATGTTTTGGAAATGTTTTGTCCAAAACATCCCTCTACCTTGGGAGAGGTAGTTGGTAGTGGCTCAGAATGCTGCCATCTTTTCCACTCTAAGGCACCCTGGTCACATGAAGCAGAGTGAAAATATGTAGCCCACCCTCTACTTCTTAGTGTACAAGCACACACAGATGAAACAGAAGGGAAAGCATAAATCCTACATGGCATGGGACTGGGTTACCTGAGGGATAGTCTCACCCCCATTATATCCACCCGTCCCACCCGGTCAGGCAGGGAGGGTATGCTGCGGACCTCATTGATAAAAATGTCAACTGGCGGGGTCCAGAAAGAGAGCCTTCTCTGCTGTGGCCCCCGCCCTGTGGAATACTCTCCCCCAAGAGGTGAGGCAGGCCCCAACTCTCTTGTCCTTCCGGAAAGCAGTCAAGACCTGGCTCTGCCCACTGGCATGGGGCGCAAAAAAGGTCAGCCAACCCTGAGGGTGGCTAGCACCCTGAAGATTCTCCCATATGTTAATATCTTACTGACCATCAACATCTTGGAAGATATTATTTGTGTATGTGTTTGGTTTTTATTCT